TTTTTCACCAGAGAAAGAAAATGATCAGATGAGTCTGAGAAAGGTTTTTCTGGAGAATGTTCTGGAACTTCCCAGGGAAATTGAACTTGCCATTTGAGAAGCTCAACAAAGTTATGTAATAGAAATGTGCTTGGTTCCATTCAAAAGAGTAAAATACCCTTAAAATATCTTCAGTTCAATGTAAACCACTACAGTCCATCAGAGATATGAAGAGGGCCTAAACTAAGATTTAAAGAGTATGTCTAAGGTGAAATCAATAGGATGTGGTAACCCACAAACATGTGTATGGGGTACCGGGAGGAAAAATGATTGAAACATTTGCCTTAGAAGACTAGGTATATTGTATAAATATGTACTGTAGACATTTTGATAGCCCTCTATAGAGTATAGAGCAGAATACCTTGCTCAATGAGGCTTCAAAAATGCCCTTGACTGCCCATCAGCCATGTCCTGCCCTTAGAGCAACAATTCAAATTCAGATCCTAAATGAGAAAATGACCATTGGTAAATCCAGTTAATTATAATTCAAATTAAGATTCTTCATCCAGTCTCTGTCTCTGTCCAAGTTTTGTATATCCAAGTTTTGTATAAACTTGTTTTATACAAGTTTCAAATACTTCAACATTTTGCATTAACATTTCCCGAGAGCATTTTAATATTCTTTATACCATTTAGATTTAAATTCTTCCAAGTTCTTCCCTAAAGAAAAGTAGAAACAAATCTACTTTAAAAAAATCAATGAAAGACCTGAACAGGCAATTGAAATAGTTGTGCATCAGTCCCAGATGAGCATAGATGCATTTATACAGGTGGAGCTACTTTGAATAACTTGATGAAAGTTAGGCCAGAAAGCCCAGCAGACTCTAAATTAAAGAACAGTACATTTTTACATATATGCAAAAGTAATGCTTATGACATTATTTGCATCTATTTAGTAAAACTTAAAAATCATGTATTAGAGATAAGAGTAACCTTAAATACCATCTACTGTATATCCTCTACTTTAAGACATATAATCAGTGTGATTATTTTATATAGCATTACCTATCTCCATGGAAAACAAAAAGCTGTAATCAAATCAATGTGGTAATTTATAATTGGTATTTAGAATAAGAATATGTGGTAATTCAACTCCCAAGTTATAATATTAATAAAAAGAAGTAAAATTCCTCAAAAACACATCAACATAGAGCCATTATTGGAAACCAGAATGCAAAAAGTATATCCTAGTACATTTCCATTCCACCATAAGAAAATAAAGACCCTTTTACTTTAAAAACTTGTAATTTATGATAGGAAAATAATAAGACATATGTAGGTATACTGTTGGTGGGAATGCAAACTGGTACAACCTCTGTGGAGAGTAGTATGGGGATATTTTAAAGAACTAAATGTAGACTACCACTTGATCCAGCAATCCCACTACTGGGTATTTACCCAGAGGAAAAAATAGACATTTTATTTAAAAAGACACTTGCACGTGAATGTTTGTAGCAGCACAATTCACTATTGCCAAGATGTGGAAACAACCCAAGTGCTCATCAATACATGCATGGATCAATAAAATGTGGTATATGTATACCATGGAGTACTACTCAGCCATAAAAAATGGTGAACTAATACCTTTTGTAACAACCTGTATAGAACTGGAGACCATCCTTTAAAGTATCACAAGAATGGAAAAACAAAAACCACATGTATTCACTACTAAATTGAAACTTATAGATCAACGCTTATGTGCGCATATGGCAGTAAAATTCAATGGAAATCAAGCACGTGGGAGCAGGGAGTAGGGGATGGGTAAATTCACACCTAACGGGTACAATGCAAACTATATGCATGATGGACACACTTACAACTTTGACTTAAACTGTACGAAAGCAATTAATTAACCAAAATGTTTGTACCCCTCTAATATTCTGAAAAAATAAAAACCTAAATAACAATTATACCTCAATAAAGCTGTTTATAAAACAAAAACAAAAACAAAACCCTCTGTGCAACTTCTCAATCTTCTTTTTAACTCTAGAAGTTAAATGGTCTCAAATTGCATCCTGAATTTTGTGTTAATCATCATCATGCTGTTTTTAACCTTATTGAGGTGTTATTTATTATTTTAAAAATCCTCTAAACTTTGCAAAGCATGTTGCATACAAAATTTAGCACTTATTTTATCACATTATTGATTTGTTTTAAGCTGTAAGTCTATTATATTTATGTCCCAACATATGTCCAACTTGATAGCTATTGTATAAACATAAAGTTCACACATAGATTATTTTTTTAATTTCAGAATATTATAGGGATACAAACACTTTGCTTTTAAAAAGATAGCTTTAACAGCACATATTTATAATTCCTAATAATCAATTTTGGCTGCCTTTGAACTTTATGTAAATAGCATCTTGATGTATTTACTCTTTATAACTTGCTGTTTATTCAATATTGTAAAGTTCTTCTAGATTGAGGAAGAAAGGTAACTGTAAATCATCTGTTTTTATTTTCATATGACCATATGTTATATGACCATAAATCTATTTGTTTATCCATTTTCCCTTTGATGGGCATTCAGACTGTTTCATTTACCCCCTTGACCATATTAAAGATAGTTTTATGTCCTGTCTTATAACTTTAAAATCTATAGCCTCCTGTGTATATGTTTCTACTGTTTGTTTATGTCTCATTCTGAACATGGTCATTTTTGTTTAGTGCTAGACATTGCATAGGAAAAATCATACAAATAATTGAGGCCTACAATGATGTTTACTTGCTCCAAACAGGATGTTCATTTACTCTGGTGTTCAACTAGGAACACTCGTATTCTAAGATTATTTTAATATAATTTTAGGAACTCAAGTCATTTAAAGCAAGCTGCTATCTCTGAAATACTAGTTTACTTCTGGTATACCCTTAGTCCAAGACTATAGCCCTTTGGGAATCTCTACTACACTATGGTGGGCTTATTAAGTGATAAACACTTCATCACTGTAAATGTGAACAAAACTTTTATTTTTAAACTTTTCAAGGGAATCAGATCTATTTTCCTGCTGTTGCCAAGCCCCTTAGTAACTCTCTGAGTGTGTTTGTATTCACTAGGAAGGGACATTTCTGTGGAATTAATCAAACAGAGAATTCAATGTTCCTTGCAGATAATTTTGGCCATGTTCCATTACGAACTATCTAGTCTGAATTTTCATTTTTCCTGGGAAAAGACCCACATGTTCCAAATCCTCAGTCTTTCCTCTACTTATTAGTGAAGAACAATATAGCAAAATTGCTATATGCAGAATTAAGAGCAATGAGTATTTAGCAAGGCACTGTGCCGGGAACTTCATCGCTAAAATTAGAGAAGGAAAAATGTGTAAGCATAACAGTTCAAATGTAGTAAATAAAAACTAGCATCAAAAATGTTATAAAAACCATCATAATAATTAACTTATCTTATGATTTTCCTAAAATCAAAATAAATGTGGAGACAGAGAATTAGAAAATATTCAAAGCTCCTAATACATTCTAGTAAATCCAGAGATGGCAAATCTCATTTCCCAAGGAAAATCCGTGCTACTAATTTTGGTAACCATTAAAAAGTTGTATTCAATGCCTACTTAAAATCTTTTGAAATCTATGTTTTGTTCCTTAATAGTTTTCCTAAATTTATGACATAATAGAATCTTTATCCTGTCATTGGCTTTATGTTTCATACCAACTTTTCTTTCATCTTACAGAATGAAATTAATCTGGCAGATAAATTCTAGCTATTTTATTAATAGCTATAATGAAATAGTTGCTGCTATTATTTGTGTCATATACATGGTACTTTAGCTCTAGAGCATGAAGACACCTAATGTTGTTTTCTACCACTGATGATTTTATCTGTCTTTCCACATCTGGACAATTGCTCTATAATAGTCACGAAGACCTGGCACTTGGTGGAATCCTACCTGCTGAGGAGTTTATTTGGCCAACTTCATGTAGGACATTTAAATGGAGATGTTGTCCAGGCACTGTTTTTCATGCCTGTAGTCCCAGCACTTTGTGAGAACAAGGCAGGCATATCACTTGAGGGCAGAAGTTCATGAGACCAGCAGGGCAACACAGCAAGACTCCATCTGTACAAAAAATAAGAAAAATTAGCCAGGTGTGGTGGCGTGTGCCTATAGTCCCCACTACTCAGGAGGCTGAAGCAGGGATCACTTGAGTCCAGGGGAGCTATGATCATACCACTATACTTCAGCCTGGGCAACAGAGCAAGACAATGTCTCTAAAAAGATAATAAAATTTTTTTTAAACTAATGGAGATGTCCAGGACACTAAAAAAAGCAAAAAAAAAAAAAAAAACAAAGAGAGAGAGAGAGAGATTTTGGAGTCATTAACATATTTGAGGTGGTTGAAGCCACAGGTATGAAGAATGTCCCAGGAAACTGTGTATGGTTCAGGAAGACTTTAGGATTAATGTGCAGAGCCATTATTAGGTACCCAAGATTTGAGGAATAAAACAATAAATTAGAAAATGACAATGTACTTGATTATTAATTTCTATTTAAGTTTGAGTAAAAAAGACTGTTGTTATTTCCATCAAACTCTGTCTCCAGACTCTACAGCAAAATAGTAAGTGATGACAGTAAAAGCCCTAGCAACCGTTCATATTTATGTCTTTGAGGTGAAACCATTCTATTTCAACACATATCATATTCTCATTGAATTCTACATTAGCTCATGATGAACACAAGATGTTTTTCACAATCTGGTTGCTGGTTCAATGACTTTATTTTTTAGCAAAGTACACAGGAACTGCCAAGATGGGAGAGTAACCTTTCCTAAATCACTCCAAGTGTCACCATGGCTACAAGCTTATTTTTCTAAATTTGGAAATTATGGATTTTTACTTAAGAAAATATAAATTCATTCAAGTGCTTCACTCACATTGTATTGAGGATTTATCATTTATCTTATAAACAAAATTCTGTTTTTACATACACGAATGATTTTCTTATTCACAGGTTCAAACCAAAATGACAACTGTTCAATTTGATTGCCAATACTGTACAGCATCACTTCTTGGGAAGAAGTATGTACTGAAGGATGACAATCCATACTGTGTTTCGTGTTATGATCATATCTTTTCTAACTACTGTGAGGAGTGCAAAGAACCAATTGAATCAGATTCCAAGGTAGGTCTCATCTCAGTTCACAGAATTCCTGCATATTAACGGCAAATAAATGCTTTGGAATGCCTTCTTTCATTTAGTGTTGACTTTTAACACTATTTCCTTGCTACTGGATATAGGGATCTTGAAAGTCACCATTAATCAAGTTCCAGTCACTATGTTTAACACTATGAAATATAACAAATGCTTTAATCCTCACATGATCCTATGAGGTACTTTAGGATGCTAAAGATTAAAGAAGTTAAGCTATTTGCCCAAAGTTAGGTAGATAAAATATTAAGTCGTTTCTAGAATGACAAGAGTATAAATAAATACATAAATAATGAGACATGTAAGGATTCAAAATCTATGTTTTCTGACTTAAAAATCAGCCTCATTTCTACTAACCACTATTGTGCCCATTACTCCTACAATACTCATTATTTTTTCTTTCTTCCTCTTATTTCTTTTTTGCCTTTACTTTAGTAGGGGGGTGTTATTTCTTGTTTGTTTATAGTTTATAAAAGGAACATAGGGAAAATTTGAAGAAATAGCAAAGACTTTCATTTATTTTCCAGCTGCCTTTAGTGACCCTTCAAGAAAGCCCCAGGCTCTAGCTCTTAATTACCCCAGAGAATCTCCTCTCTATGGGTATCAGTATCAATAACAACTTTCCCTCCAGCTACTAGCATAACCTACTGGCCCTGGAGGCCCAGGAGTGTTTCATTTTGTCATAAAAATGGTCTGCTTTGTCACAAACACATTTAATTAACTTTTATTTGCTGTCCCGAAGGATCTCTGTTACAAAGACCGGCACTGGCACGAAGGATGCTTCAAGTGCACCAAATGCAGCCGCTCTTTGGTGGAAAAGCCCTTTGCCGCCAAGGACGAGCGCCTGCTGTGCACGGAGTGCTACTCCAACGAGTGCTCCTCCAAGTGCTTCCACTGCAAGAGGACCATCATGCCCGGTAAGATCTCCAGGCTGCTCCCGCCTCCCCTGAAGGCGCGAGGCTGTTCAGCAAGTGCCAGCACGTGAGGCGTGCAGCAGCTCACAACCCCCTGGTTTCTAGAAAGTCCTCCTTTTTATTCTATCTTGATCTCCTTTAGTGTACTTTAGAAATGAAAAGAATCGTTCATCATTATCCTTGAATAGGTAAATAGCAGTGTTCTGTGCATTTTCATGAAACCTAATTTGTAGAAACATTTCAAACCAGAACCTGAGGCATAGAATAAAGATAAAAGTCATACCAATAACACTACATTAAACACCCTGCCCTAAGCATAACCAATGACAGCAGAAAGAATGAGTCATCATCAGGGCCAACTATCATTTTGTAGTTCAATGCAAATGGTGTCAGGGTCAGTCATTGTTATTCTCAGAGAAGACAAGGATCCATGGGAACCATTCTACTTTTAGCAAGCACTAATTCTCTATATTTTGATTCTCTTCTCAATCCCTACAGACAGCTGCATAAGAACATAACTCATTCTCTCTCTCTCTCTCTGGCTCTCACTCTCGCTCTTGCTGTCTCTCATTTTCTTATTATGGATTCAAAGAATTTTTAGGAGGCCATAACTGCACAATATAAATCTCAGGAGTTGTGACCTGGACATTTCTAATATCCCTGTAATGATTATTAAGGCTTAATTTCTCTAAAGCACATGCAGCCGTTTAAAGTCTCTACTTAAAGCACTTTCACATCTCCAAAGTGCAGCTTATGCTGGGCTCGAAAGCGCTTTCAGTGAAAGGGTGATTTGCCACCATCATAGCTGAGTTCTATTAACCTCTATTTCCCCAGATGATGTTTCTGAAACTGACTAAATACCATTTTCTAAAAGAACAATATGTTTATCACCTTAACTTTAAAAAAGCTATTTTTTTAAGTGATTTGATCTGTGTGTGCTTAAAGGAAATAAAATTATGTTTGACTTGTACTAATAAGTTCTTACTTTTGGAATACAGGTTCCCGCAAAATGGAATTTAAGGGAAACTACTGGCATGAAACCTGCTTTGTGTGCGAGCATTGCCGACAACCAATAGGAACAAAGCCTTTGATCTCCAAAGAGAATGGCAATTATTGTGTGCTGTGTTTTGAGAAGGAGTTTGCTCAGTACTGCAACTTTTGTAAGAAGGTAATTATCTAAAGAGGATGAAGGCTGTGGAAACTTCCAGCTCATTGCTTTTTAGCTGCACCATATATAACTACCATGTTATATCTGTATTTATATATTCCTGTTAGTTTTTAATGTCCACAACATGTCCACAACCACTAGCTGTCACAAGGTGAAGATGACCATCTTTTTTTTTTCAGCCATAAAATTCCACCCACATGAATTTAATATTCTAAACAGCTCAAGTGACTTGATATTCCAGTTTGATTCACTGCTCATATACAAGATTTCACGTATTTTAGGAGAGGGCACACATCTGTCTTTGAATTTTAAATACAGAATGTTTCTTAGAAAATAATTTTTGATCCATTCAATATTAATTATTTTGGAGATATATGGATTTGCCTCACAGAGTGACTAAGGCAACTGATTTTAACAGAGTGTTTAACTCCTCACATTATGTCTCAGCAATGCAAATGTCTCCTTGTCTTGACACTTTAGTATATCCAAGAGTAGATGGGTAGGCTCAAGAGAGTGCCAAGATCATGAGGAAAATTTAGTGGACACAAAGACAGAAAGAAGACTAAGATCTGCAAGTTCCTTCACTTCCAGTTCTAGAGTATCATGTAGGGCCTTCTAACTTGATTTCCCATTCAAAATCCATTTTCTAATAGTCATGATAAAGAGTCATTTTTTGAAGTAAACTTTGTCCAATTCTTTTTTATCTTCTAAGCTTTAATGTGAAAAAGTAGCTCATGTCTATCACTTTGATGAAGTCTGTCTGTGTTCCATAAAATATATATGGATGTTCTGGAAGGAATTCTTGACCTGTGAGGCATCATAAGTTTGAAATGACACTACGAATTGTGATGAGAGAGCTGAATCATGAAAACACACTGAATTAGTATAGTGGTTTCTAAGTATTTTTGATCCATGTGCTACTTTAGCATATCTCTTAAGACCATTTGTATATTTGCATCTGGACAGCTGGAAGTCTCTACAGGTCTCTACAGGTACATATAAAAATACACATACACACATGTACAGTAGTTTTCTACATGCATTAACAATGCCAGTATACTATCCTAAGTTATAATTATTGAATTACACTACAGTGATGACTGAGAATTACCATTGCTAATAACATGAGATGAAATCATCTTATACTCAGAGACCTCCATTACTCTACCAGAAACACTGACTTAGAAAATGACTTTACAAGCAGCAGACAAAGTCCATGACCCTGTAACAAATGGAGCCCAAAAGAATTACTAGAGTCAATGACATGCACCTAAAAACATGCTGGAAATAAAATGAATAGTTTCATCTCACTGTTTTGAGAAACAACTAAGTTGGCCAATTTTAGGCTTCCTTTCTTAAAGACTTAAGCTAAAATTAATGAGACTTATGAGAATTATCTTAAAATCATTTATTGGACACAATATAAAGTCTCTTTCAATGCTATAAAAGTTTAAGAAAGGAACTTCTCTAGTACATCAGTGCTGAACACTCTCTGGGCCAAAGCTCTGGCGTTTCCCAGGTTATAGGAGCCTATGAAGTCATCAAAAATTCTTGAAATATTTATATTGGGTAGTAGACAGATCATGACATGCCAGATTATTTTCTATTTCATTTTTAAAACCACAAGTCTTTTAAGGAAAGCTGGATATAAATGGTTTTGATCAAGATGATCCAAGCTAAACAATTTTTTTCAACCTAAACCAAAGACCAAACATTAAAAAATAAAAAAGCAAAAACTAATTGAAAATCAGGTCCTTAGAATCTTTTCCCATAGATTTTGTTACGCTAAAATTTATTTTCTACTGAAAAACAAGTGACCTCAAACTACAAGTGCTTTCAATCCAAACTCCTCAGGGTTCAAAAAATAGTTAAATATATTATTATTCTCTGATTCTTTGTCACCTATCTGAGCACAAAGTCCTTATTGCCTCCACTTTGTCAGGGAAGAAACTTGTTCTAAATCGTGGGATCAATCAGTGGCAAAAATCGAGCTTAGATATTAGACTTCATCTTAACCTTCCTACCTCTTCAAAAGGAATATAATCACAAGCCAACTATTTTTAATGTTCCAGAGTTTCTTCTCCCTAATTAAACAGTTTTTGGCATATATATCAAGTTTTATTTTGCTGTGAATATGTTTTTCAAGTTTCAAATCTTTTAAGCATTGCCTGCTAATCATTAGACCAAACAAATCAAAGGAATCATGAATTCTGCTGTGCCTGCTAAAAGGCATTTGAAGTCAGTAGGGGGTATTTTAAATTGCTTTACTTGACACACACCAACATGCTTTGCATTCACTTATTCAGAATAGAATGCTTTTTCCTATATGGTAAAATAACTTTTTTATCAAATATCTTTAATTTCTAATATATTTGTTATAAGATTAAAAATATCTTTACAACAATGTTTTCAAACATCTGTATCACAACATTTTTTAGTTTGTAAACAATAAGATGGCTTAAAATAGGCTCTGCATTTTCACTAACTAGTTAATTTGAATATAAATGTTATAGGAACCATCTCAGATATCCCATTGCTTTAGTAATTATAAGACATTTATATGAACACATTCCAGGTTCTACAGCAACTCCAGGAGCTCAATAGCCATGGATTTGAAAGACAATATGACTTCAAGATAGCTTCACAAGAAGATTTGCCCAATATTTATCCATCTGAATAATAATAAAGATCTCCATAAAAATCATAATAAAGATTTCTCACCTTTTTAAAAAGTAGAATCCTTTGATTAAACTGACTTAGAAAAAGATATATTATCTTATGGAAAACTAATAGCCATCTCTGGCAAAACCCTATCACGCCATACCTTAAGGCTCAGTATACAACCAATGTTCTTTACTTCGAGTCCTGAATCCAATAGCACCCCGTTGCTAGATGCAATATTGGAATTGCTTTCCAGAGATTTTTTTGTCCTTTGGTATTTATTAATCCATTCAATAAGGACTTATCAACTGCTTATCTGTGCAAAGTAACCTTGACTCAGTATTATATTAATAGTTAAGCACACAGACTGTGGAGTCAGACTGTGCAGGTTTGAATCCTAACTCTCTGTAGCCATGGCAAGTAACTTAATGACTCTAACTCTCAGTAGTTGCTCATCTGTACAGAGGGAAGGATTATACTCTCTACAGTTAAGAGGTGCTGAGAATATTCAGAAGAGGTCAACCCTTAGCACAATGAGTGATTATTAGCCAGTGATGGTGCTTACCCATTCCATTCCAGGAGGCTACTGCTGGATATTCTCAGACCCAGTGTAAAACTTTCAGGAAGAAATAGAATTTTTTACCATCCTTGAAAGTTAGATATAGATATGGGAAATAGCTCTAATGGCAGATCTTTGAAGACCAAAATAAGAAAAGTCAGGGAAGTACAAGGAAGTGAATCAGCGACTTGATTTTTTTTTTTCCTACGTCTAATATGGTCCTACCTTTTTTCCACTCTACCTTAGAAGAAAAAGGAGACTAATTTTCATTTCTTGCCAGTTCTAGGTAATTTATTTCCAAGTTTAGCATATGTGCTGCCTAAGTGAGCACTGTTCTAGGTAATCTCTATAGCCTTTGGCTTCTCCCATTGATTCAAAAAACAGAAGTTTTTAATGAAAAGAACATCCTAACACAAGATGATACAGTAGCCCAAGACGTCAGCTGTGGACATAGAAGAGAATCATGAAATGATCTGAATTGTAATGGCTCCCATGGTCATTGCCTTTTTTGTGATCCTTCCCTAGGTGATAACTTCAGGTGGGATAACATTTCATGACCAGCTATGGCATAAAGAGTGTTTTCTGTGTAGTGGCTGTAGGAAAGAGCTCTCTGCAGAAGAGTTTATGTCCAGAGATGATTATCCATTCTGCTTGGACTGCTACCACCATCTTTTTGCCAAAAAGTGTGCAGCCTGTTCCAAATCTATCACTGGTAAGTTCTTCAGTTCAATATGATCATACCATGAGACAGTTAGGACTACATAAAATGCTGTCTAGATAATTTAGGAAATGCAAGTAAAAATGGAAATCTTTCATTTATGTTTTCTTTTGAGATAAACACAACTGGGTGCTCATATATAAGTATAACTATAACATGGACCCCCTCAAAGAAAGTACAGGGTATAATTTGGGTGGCTATACTCTGCAAATGGTAATTACATTCTAAACCTAATGGTACTGACTCTTCAGTAAAGTAACAGTTTGAGAAGGAAGAACACAATGAGTGGAGAGGTCAGAGAAAACCTTTACAAGGAGACCTGCTCTGAGCTTCATTAAGGATTTGAGTGAGAAGGAAGGGTTACTAATAAATCAGATTATTCCTTAATTCCAAAATAGGGCTGAGCATCCTTAAGATAGAAAGGTTTTAATTAAATGCAACTATTGTATACAACATCTGAAGCTGTAATTAATGTAGCATAGGTCAGGAATTAATTAAACTTCATTTTAAGATGCTTCTAACAAATGTATTATTCTCTTTTCCCTCTATTCACTTGCAATTGCAAAGTGCATTTATGAATAGATGAAAGAAAACAAGATAGCATTTTACTGAAGAAAAATACATGTGACATGATTTGAAAACAACACAATGATAAATTGATCCATGTTAAATAGGTTTTCAAGGTAAAAAATACATATTTTCCTTCGAGACACTTCTAAAACGCTAATCCTATAATAAAGGAACTGGAGCTAGCATGACACATGAGCAACCCGGCAGCTATTCTTTTTGACAGTTTATAGTCACTTAAGGTGGCAGGGACCGTATTTCTACTCTCCATTCCTAGTATTCTTAATTATATTTCATTTTCCAATTCAGTTTATATAACATAGAATTAAAGATTATTTTATCCCTTTTCTCCTCCTCCTTCATCTTGAAATATATAAGAAAATAAAAGCTGAAACTTCATGCATCTTCCAACCAAAGGAAAGAGTTTCACTGCAAACTCCAACTTGGCAGGCTTCCACGGACCTGCAAAGGGAGGGAGGGAGTCACCTGGACAAATAGCATGGTCCTGTTTATCTATCCAGGAGCACCATTGTTTATCAGAATCTCACACTGGCCCATGGCTACATCTGGCCAGCAGGTGGGTTATGTTTGGCTTGCACAAGTTTGGAAACAAACACTATAAAATCCATCTCTGTAGCCAAAAGTAAATGAAGAGTCTGCCATGGGTGAGCAGGCTGCTTCCACATTCTCCAGCAGGACTGCCGTCATCTGGTGCAGGGTGGCCGCCCCATTGCATGGGGTATGTCCTCTCTGTTCCTCACACCCTGTCTCTTTTGCTCAGCAATGTCACCTCCTGGTGGGGGTAGGTCTTGCAAGGACTGGCATTAGGATTTCTAGCCCACTGGGCTCTAGAACCAATACTCTAAACCACTCTGCCTCCTGCCTTCTACGCCTTAGGCAACTCCCACAGCCAAGAGAACAAGCCACTATCTCCACTGAATTTAGGTAGAAAATGTGACTTCCAGATATGCAACAATTCCTGGAGCTCCAGAATCACCTTAGTAAAATCTGCAATCACAGTCAATTTATTTGACAACACTTTTCTTGAATTGGATCAGAACAAAAGGGGGCTTCAATGAGAAAATGAGAAAATTAAACAACTCAACTCAAATGGATTTCAAAGTTCTCTGGGCACCCAAGTAACTAATAGCAATCTTCAAAAAGCCTACACAAGCTCTGAACTTGAGTTTCAATTCTGATCCATCACAGATTCATGTGTCTAAGTTAATAGTCTGATAGATTGTTCCAGATTCAATCACTGAGCTCAGCTTTTTAAAGTTCAAACAGAAAAACAACTTTGTTCTGCCCCAAAACAGGAGGATGATCAAGAACAAAAGATCTGACCCAAAAGTAACCAAACTGCAGTATTACATTTTAACTTAGAATAGTCAGTCTAAAGGGAATGTCTCATAATTCTCTTAATCCTCTTTTGGCTTTGTGATTGAAACCCCAGAGACTGAAATGATGCTTGCTAAACCTTCCAACTCACTTTAAAATATCTTGATTTGATTGTTAGATATCTATAGGCCATGCAGTAGTGCTTCTTTAAAATTGAGCTATTTGAGCTAATGTACCATAGGAAACTCTGATACTGCCGTATATTTACTTTCAGAAAGTTGAACATTCATGCAAACATTACATCACCTTAAGAAGCTTTGTATTCTTAGATACAAAATTTCAGTTAGGAGGAATAAGTTCAAGAGATCTATCCTGCAACATAATGACTATAATTATTAAATAGTTACTATGTATTATAAATACTTGAAAACTGCTAAGAGAGTAGATTTTGAATGTTCTCACCACAAAAAAATGATAAGCATGTGAGGTAATGAATACATTAATTGGCTTGATGTAGCCATTCCACAATTTATACATATATCAAAACATTATGCTATAGGTATACCTTATATATATATATTTTCCAATTAAAAATGAACTTTAAAAAGAAGCTATCTGTGTTAGAACGTTTTCAAAATACTATTTTGTATTAACTAAATTTATCTATAAATCATCAAGCGTAATTTCTTTAAACCCATCACAATGAACTTGCTTTATTTGAACAACCTCCAGGTATAACTACAATTTTTTTCTCCTCCTTTAAGATAGGATTAAGCTCTTAAACTATTGGGCATTAATGAAGCAGGTTGATTAGTGAAAAGTGTTCTGGACTGGAGGAGTGAAAGACTGGGGTCTTCCTCTGCCCCTGACTTCCATGTGACCCTGGGTACATAGCTCACCTCTGGAGGTCCTCATTTGCCTCATTTGCAAAAAGAGGAGTTGAACAGGATCACACATTAGATTTCTTCCATTTCTGTTTATTTTGAGGAAAAGGAGTTTCAATTGTTATGCTTTCTTCAGAGAGAGATACTAATGTTCCTGATTATATTTTGTACAAAACATAAAGTCAAACATAATTCTATGAGGTTAAAAGCAGAGGCTCTAAAGGGCAGACAGCCTGGGCTTGGATCCCAGATCTCCCACTTAGTAGCTGGGTAACACTGGGCAAGTGGTTAAACTTCTTTGTTTCTCAGTTTTTGTCTGCACAGTGGGAGATGATGATAATATCTACTCCATGAAGGTAAGGTGAGGGCAATATGAGGCAATACATACACAGGGTTTGGACTAGTGACTGGCACATATTCAAGAACTCAACAAATGCTAGCTCTTACTCTACTAACTTATCAGAAACCTATGAAACCAGATAAAATAGACATCAGGGACCTGTCTCCTGTATAGCTTTCTTACTGCAAACAACTCTCATGACCTGAGAGAGTAAACATATCCAAAATTGGAACAATTTACAAACATCTTACGTGTTTGGTCAGTCCTTTCTTAAAGTCTTGCTGCCAGATGCTTCTATTTTTTTTCTTCTTTGCAAAATTCTAGAAGAATTACATTTGCCACTTGTACAAGACTTACTAATAAAATAAAAAACATGAGCATCAAAATGCTAGATGTGTAATAATTAGTTTCATGAACAGACATGATGTATATATAGAGAGAACATTACTCTTGCAGTCAGCTTATGTTTTGAATAACATTAAAGGAATTAATTGGTACACAATTGATTTACACTTATTAGAAAGTAATGATGATAGCATCATAGATAAGCAAGCTATAAATTTAATCAAGGAAAGTAGAAGAATTTGATGCAAATTTCTCCATGAACCACTAAATTATATATAAAGATATCAAATAAGGTTTTCAGGATGGATAAGAGGTTATTATCATATTTAAGAAAGGTTTATCTGAAATAGAATGCTTATTCACCCTTTTGCTTCACCGTTTCAAATGGAATATTTGAAAATTATATGCTAATCAGCACATGAAATATTTTAGCCTCACTCTTTGGACTATAAGCAAATCAGAGGAAGTCCATAGCACTAAGATCACTTGGAGAATATGTCAAATAAATAAAGATCCAAGCCTAGGGCATTTCAACCTCTTCCCAAATCCTAGACCTTGTCTCTATTTCTGTAACTTCTCAAAATCAGTTTCTTGAACTGCACCCTGGAGTCAGAGAGACAGAGATCAGAGCCTCACTGAAGATTCAAATTCTACTACTTTTTACAGAAACAGTATAGTTCAGGTGAGGCCCAAGTTAAAATAGTAAGGTACTTAGATGAAGTACTTAGAAATTAATCACAGGATAGCATGGCCTCAGTGGCTAGAGTGATTGGATTCACACATCTTCGTTGCAACCCTAAGCTGAAGTTGTCTCTGGGCAGGGTAACAATGTCATTGTATTAAGATGGTTGTATGATAGTCTGGATGAAATCCTCTATTTGGGATTTCTGGCAATCATGTTCCAACTCATGTGACCAGAGGACTTATTCTATGTAAAATTAAGCATGGAAAAATGAAGGAACACAAGAGAACTAAAAGTCATTAAAACATCAGACACCAGGTTAGGAAGTGTACATTTATTTCATCTTATCTTTATTTTTCAGCTAAGAAAACTTAAGGTCACACAGAGAGAAAAAGTAACAATATTCATACTGAGATATCTCTGACTTCAAAATCTGTGACCTCTTCCCACTGCACTACACTCTATTTCCTTATCCATCTTAGATAATCCTTATCTGTTTCCAAAAAATATGTGGTTTTTATATCCAGATTCTACTACTTCTGTAGATTATGGCAGCATTTGCCTGGGAATCTGCTTGGGTGGCATAGGTGGAACTTGCCTAGGACTGACATTCCCAGTTGGACACAGTGATGGGGGCAGCATTCTTTGCGGGGTTATTTGCCTCTAGGTGGTCTAGCTCGTGGCTGTATCTCCCGTTTCTAGAGAATTACCTGATAGAATGTTCAATCTATTCTTTGAAAGGATAGATTACTTTTTTTCTCCAATTTCTTTACAGGTCTGAGAGGTGCCAAGTTTATTTGCTTTCAGGACCGCCAGTGGCACAGCGAATGCTTTAACTGTGGGAAGTGCTCAGTCTCTTTGGTTGGTGAAGGCTTCCTGACCCAGAACAAGGAAATCTTCTGCCGCAAATGTGGCTCCGGGGTGGACACTGACGTCTAGAAGGAGATGGTGTTTCTCCACCTGTAATCCACTTGGCCTTTGTTGTCACTAAATCTAGAACCCGGTTGAAGTCGTATTTTTGACGTAAATTTTAGAAAACATTAATGCAAAGTTTATAGTGGAAGAGTTTTGCACACATTCTCATAGAACTGTATGCTAAGGGCACAAAAAAGCACAGTCCAACAGAAATTAACATATGCTACATCACAAGGGCACCTCTCCTTGCAAAACACCACACCGCACCTCTCCTTGCAAAACACCACACTGTTTCTAACTGCTGTTAGAAACATAGGAAATTATCTCTTCATAATCAAGCATATGACTTATACCTAGGAGTCGTGGATGTAATTACTGAAAATGATGTTTTTCAAACCTGCAAAGTAAAAGAAAAACTAGGAGATCAAATTGAGAGTTATACATGAGACTAATGTTTGCATTCTTAGCTAGCTAGTTATATATAATGCAATAGATTGGCTAAATGGTAGAACAAGTAAATTGATTAGGGAAGAGTGATTAGTAATCATCACATTTAAGAATTGTGTCACCTTTTAATCATTCTTTTGTTGCTCACACATACTGACTTTAGAATTGAAAAAGAAAGCGGCAATTTGCCCACATTCAAGTTGTTTCCACAGCTGGTTGATTCCTGTGTTTAATCAATGGAATTCAAAAATTGTGGACCCTATGGCTCTCATACTCTGCATAAGTATAAGGGGATCATTTCTACCTATGGATAGCCAAAGCATGAGTTTCAACACATTTTGTATTAAATGTATTTTCAAAGCCCACAATGATTTTTCTAAATGCTTACAGATTCCATGAAATGAAAGTCTATTCTTTCAAGTGGAGCTAACCAGGATAATCCTTGTCCCCAAAGGCAAACCTTTAAAGTAAATAGATCATTAAATCATCACTTGTGGAAATGAGTTTTAGGGAAGGGATTGAGTGTTGGAACATGACTTTCATCCAGATATCCAAAGACATAATAGAATGCATAATTAGCTCTGTGCCTCATGCATTTTGCCTTGTAAAATTACATAGATGATTAATGGGCAGACATAAAAGTGGGCTTTAAAGAAATCCAGTAATAATAAGAGCTGAAAAAGAATAATTCACTGCTGATAATTCAGGACCTGCAAAGCAGCACAACAGAGTAATGTGGGCTGTAGAGGAGCCCTCCCCCACTGCTCCCCACACCTGGGCCACCCACCTTACCCCAGGCCAACCATGCCCCCAGCTGCAACTTGCTGCAACAGCCATTCAACCCCTCAGTCAGTGCTTATTGGTCACAAAGGAAATAACAACCTTAGTGAAAAGTCTATCACCCTATCTTTATCTAATTTAAACCAGACTTCAACTAGAGATGACCCTGCCTAGATGCTGCTGGACAATATCTTCCACATAATTTGGAACAAATGGAAAGCAACCTCTGGTCTCCATGGTCAGTTATCACACTTGGTTATAGCGTCTCTTGGGTGGAGTAGAGAAAGGTCAGGAGAAGAAACCCACATAGATATAACGTATTTATAAATGTCTGCTCTCAGATTACTGCAAAGTGTTAAAGGTTTCCATTTAAATTGAATTATAGGCTATGGTTGATTGCAATAACTAAAGTAGCATCAGAGGAGATTCAATTAAAATTGTTATGGAAACAATTTTTGAAGTAGTTTTAAAGCAAAGGTATTCAGGGATGTTAACAATTTAGAGATGCTAATGAAAGTTCAGGCTACATAGACTTTTTGAAAACTATAATTGTATTTTTTGGATTAACAATGTCAAGATATTTTCTCATATTCACATTGTGAAATACAAGCAAAGCTATCAATATTTTCCATGCATTATATAAAATTGCACAAGTAAAACTAAATATACCAATTTTTTTATGATCTAGAAAATAATAGTGCATTACACATATATCAAGCTTAGCCATTTGAAGTCTGGATAGATATATAACATGTAAAGTTTTCTTTGTTAACCAATTATAGATAAAAATACTTATAACATGTTTTGTTTTCTTAGTTAAACAATTGGTAATGTTTTGGAATTTTGCTGTTGGGGGGTGAGTGTGCCCATGATCAGGCTTGTATTCAATCTTTACAATTAAAATTCACAGCATTATTTCCTAGATAGAGATTTTACTATTTTTGATAGATATAATTAAGTATATATACTTTCACATCTAAATAGTTCTGTATTTAGAAGGCAGTGTAGACATCAAACATGTATTAAGCATGTGCTATGCCCAAAGTTACAGCTCACACCGTTGTAGTGGGCGGTGGGAGGGTGTATCAGGCATGAAAATGTAGAAGTGCCAGGTGCAGAGATCCTTCCCTACAACTTAAAACACCACTGTAGACATAACCACACATATGCAAAACAGCTGAGAAAGAAGACCTCCTTAGACTGACATACAAACAAAGACAAATGTAAAAATCATGTAGTTGATTTATATAACAGAGAAAAGCTCTCTTAACTAACCTATCCAAAGATGGAACAGGCTGCCTTAGGAAGCAGTGGGCTCCCAGTAATTCAAGGGTGACATCTGCACAGGCAGGAAAGTAGTTAAAAGCAAATAGCATGTGCGAGTAACAACCAGATGGCTTGGAAGTAGCTGAGAGACTGTGCCAATGAGCAGGAGGAAATAAGACTGCTAACAGGGAAAGGATCAAAGGAAGGAAGAATATTAACTATTAAGATAAAGGTATATACACAACATGCCATAGAATGTTACCAACTGTTCTTAAATAAAGGAGAAAAAGAATTATGACAGTGCTTGAGGAAAATTATGCCAATGATTCTGTGTGGAATAGAACCAAAGAAAGCAAGGTTCGCAGGGTTAGGTTTCTTACTATAGTAATAAAGATATGTTTGGTTAACGGCTACAGAAGTGAAAGAAAGAAGCAGCAAAAGACAATGTGGGCCAAAAATTATATTTGCTGATATAGGTAAGTATACACATTAACAAATATTTTATGTTGTGTTGACAACATGCAAAAAAAATTTAAAAAGGATTTCTGCTCCAATGATAATGGGTATGATTCCCAAGGGTTTAATTTTTACTTAATAAAATCATAAAAATATTATATTAGGACAAAACTAGCTGCATCAGTTAAGTGAAATGTGATCATTCTTCAATCATGGGTTCAAAACTTACATAATTACTATAACTTTAATAAAAGAAACATTATGTTGTACATTGTAGTGAAATATTGACCAACCTTTGTGAAATATGCATAATACCAATCACAGATGGTTCAAAATCACTGCAAATTTAATACCATGAACAAAATATTAGTCCAAAAACATGTGTGATGCTAGTAACATGATTTTTGATCTTAAGAGAAAAAAATACCTTTTAATCTACTTGGCATATTAATAATAGTTCTTTTATAATAAGACAATGATTGTCAAAATATGTTTTATATATATCTGAACACATGAATTGTTCTCCAATATACTTATAGATAAGTGTCTATTATTGCAATAATACAGCTTTTTGCTTGTTTTACAAAGTGTGGTTTTGAGAAGTCTCTTATAGTGGACAAATTTGCATTTTACATAGTATATATTAATAGTTCTCAAATTGTTTTAGAGATTTATTTTTTACATTAAGTGTACAGTAAACAGAATAGGTATGGAATAAATTTTGTACTGTTTCTATTTCTATTACATAAAGGAACACGATAACTTTTACCTTCTTGTTCCATCTATTTTGATACTACCCAAATTAACTGTATATTCAGATATCATTTTGGAACATTAATAGAAAAAAAAATAATTGAATTCTGTCTGACCCAAAGAGAATCCCTCTCCTGTTAAACTAGAAGAACCATATCTGTACTCTTTATTACAGTTATTAAATTTTAAAATGTTGTAAAAAGAATTATTTTATTTCTAATTATTTCTGTGATTCTGAAAATAATTTATGGGAAATAGCCCACTTTAATTGGATGTTTCTGCTTTGATTCAAATAGTATTTTGCTAATTTCTTATTTCTGTACTCTAGGAATTGTTAAAATTGTTAAAATTGTTTACTCTATCTAAACCAAAATTTGTGTCTATAATGCAAACCTTCATGAAATTTTGGCTAATTCACACTGTAAGCATCAGTCTGTTTCTCCCCAGAATTACCTTAGGCACTGAATTCCTTTAATGTCAGAACATGTTCCACAAAGAAGCACCTGGGGGATGGACATTCTTGTAGCTCTGACTCAGGTGGGGCCACGGCAATATACTTAACCTAAACATTTATACCCCCATAATATTCTGAAATAAAAAAAGAAATAAATCGTAGTGATAAAATTATTTTTATCAAAAATAAAAAAAAGAAATATTTGGAAGAACATCTCTCACCAAACATTTTGGTTCATTTTTTAAAATCACATGATTTTGAAAGGTAATGAAATTCTTGTGGACACTCAAAAAATAAACTTTATGTCTTGGAGTAATGTTTCTTCAATGAAAGAGTCAGAATATCACTAGAAATTATAGTTGCTATGATACTACCTTTATCCTAAACCTCTTCTCCCAGGAGCATAAAATCTTTACAGCTTCACTATCCTATCAGACACATTCCAAGAGTTAGATGGTGTCACCATAAAAAAGTATACAGGAACTTTGAAGCTTCTCTTTTCAGGGAGAGGTAGAGGGGACTTAGAGAAACATGACACCAGGATAGATTTGGCCTTACCGCTTCTCAGAAATTACTGAATCTAGATCATGTTAACATAACAAAAGGATACCAAGGAAAAGAGGACATCAAGAGTTTTCATTTGAACCATCCAAGTCAAGAAAATTCAGAAATGAGTCCACCCACTCAAGTCATCCATGTGGGTTCTTAAGTGGTCCCAAAAATGCATCATCCAGAGAGAAAGGAGTTCTTTATCAGAATTATAATCATTCTGAATTTTTCTGGCTAGTCAGCTTTAGGACTAGAAGCTCTGTTGAATATAGAGGAAAGGAAGTTATTTCTAAAATTGGAAGTCAAAAAAGAGGGAAAAGACATAAAAGAGATTCAGGCTCCAAGTTGAAGTCTATAAAAGAAATAACAGGGTTTATATATATTTGGAATGATTG